TAAACCCACGGACGTGAGCCTGGGGGAGTGCTGGGCCAAGAAAAAGACACCCATGTGTTAGTGGCTCCAACAGCAAGTCCCCGAGTGTGGGCCTCAGCCCTTGCAAAGACCTTCCTCCAACCCCAGGCGCCAGCTCCCCATGAATATCCAGAGGTGGCCCTGGAGTAGACCCTGAGATCTGTCGTCACCACTGTATCCCCAAACTCCACGCAGAAAGCACTCAAGAAATATTCATGGAATGAATTCATGACGGGACAACAGACTCCCAACCTTTTTATTTTGTTTAGAAGTTTCCAGAACCAAGACAAGAGCCCAGACTCCTGGGTGAGGGTGGGGCACAGCCTATCCTGTTTGTCAGAAAACCCTGCTTGCCCTCCAAGAGCACAGGCCTCAGAAGTGGGCTTAGGATCCGCTTGCAAGCAGTTTCGAGGCCTGTCCCGCACCGGGAGAGGCCATGCACAGCTTCCGGGGCTGAGCCGGGTAGGAGTCAGGCACTGCTCAGAAGGCCCGGCTAGCTGTGGGCAGCGGAGGAGTGTCAGGGGCCTTCCTTCCTGTGTCACCTCCCAACAACAGGAGCTGCCCCAGCCAGGCTCCTGTCACCTCCTTCAGTCCTCAATCCTGTTCCTGACTCCTCCCACTTCAGGTGAGGAAACCAAGTCTCAGGGTACAGACCTGAGCCTGGGGACACCTCCTGGCCACTAAAGAGAGGGGATGGGCTTTTTTTTTTTTTTTTTGAGACGGAGTCTTGCTCTGTTGCCAGACTGGAGTGCAGTGGTGTGATCTCGGCTCACCCCAACCTCCACCTCCTGGGTTCAAGCAATTCTCCTGCCCTAGCGTCCCAAGTAGCTGGGATCACAGGCATGCGCCACCATGCCCAGCTAACTTTTTGTGTTTTTAGTAGAGATGGGGTTTCACCCTCTTGGCCAGGATGGTCGCAATCTTCTGATTTATTTTTATTTCTTTATTTTTTTTAAGTGAGTCTTGCTCTGTTGCTCCGGATGGAGTGCAGTGGCCTGATCTCGGCTCACTGCAACCTCCACCTCCCAGGTTCAAGCAATTCTCCAGCCTCAGCCTCCCAAGTAGCTGGGATTACAGGCGCCCGCCACTGCCACTATACATGGCTAATTTTTGTATTTTTAGTAGAGACAGGGTTTCACCATATTGGCCAGACTGGTCTTTAACTCCTGACCTCGTGATAGGGTGGGCTATTTGTTTGTTTTAGATTTAAGAGCACTTAATGACATAGCATATAGTTAACAGACAGGGCAATGATATAGCATATAGTTAACAGACAGGGCAAAAGTTGAGTGGCACAGTTCGCGCAGCTGAGCGCCAGGCCTGAACAACCACCTCCCGGTTCAGGCCCAGCCTCTGAAGTTCATTCCCATCAATATCATTTTTGACTGTGCAGTAAGATAAAAATTTGTCATTCGCAATAGTTACAGTAACAGAGAAATGCACACTATGTATCAAATAGTAAGGAAATGAAGCAAATTGTAACACAGTATGGCAAGTTACTTTGCCCAGTAAATTCTTCAGTTCCAGGATGGGCTTTTTATAGGTAAAAGCTCTTATCTGGGGAGGCAGTGAAGGGCAGACCATCACCATCTATCAATCATTTAGTCCACAAACCCCAGTGGGCACTCAGGTGGCAGGTCCCATGCCCAATGCAGGGGACACAAGCCAGGAGGCCCCACCCAAGTTCAAGCCAATGAGGGAGACAGATGCCGGCAGAGAAGGTGCACCACGGCCAGGAGCAGTAGGGGGACAAAGGGTTCACCTCCAGAAAGCTACAGGCCCTGCCAGACTCACATGGTGGGATGTACTCTCTTCCCACCAGCATGGGTTGATAGAGGCTCTGCCCCAACCCCCATCACCGGCACCACCCCCACCTCCACCAGCAGTGGGCCAAGTAAACAGGAGGCAGATGGCTGAGCCCAAGGTCCCGCCCCTGTGCCTCCTCAGCTGTGCTGTGTGCACACTTACACACACACACACACACACACACACAGATATCACCTCACCCCAGCCACCCTGGGGGCCCAGGGGACAGCTGCCTCCCAGGACCTCACCTAATGCCCAGAAGCCATGCTCTGCCCCACCAGGGAACCCACCACCCCTGGCTCTCCTTGGCTCTAATAACACAGAGTGGAAGAGGGACATGGGGTGCCAGAGTTTTAAGGAGCCCCCACCTCATCCACCATAGCTGAGGGGCTGCATAGCTCTGCTCCCTACTCTCAGAATGCCCTGCTCAGCTGCCCACCTCTGGAATTCCCCACTGGGACCCCAGCCTCCACTCTGCCCAGGCCAGGTTTGGGGTGGGCAGAGAGAGCTGCCAGGACCCCCAACCTGGCAGGCCCAGTTCTCCCCAGGTGTCAGCTCCCTGCCCTGGAGCTTAGACAAGCCAGTCAAGTGACTTGCTTACCTGTCCCCCGCCTGCCCACCAGTGGTCCCACCAGAATCTGAGTGGCACCTCCCTCCTAGTCCTGTTCTAAGTGGGAGGAAGTGGGCGGGAGTACAGGAAGTCCTGCAGTGGGGGGCTCTGGCTGGGCTGGGAACTGTGAGGGAAGGGAACCCAGGAGGAGGAGCAGTTGGACCCAGAGCTAGGATCTGGGCCACCAACTAAGCGTGGGGCTGCCATGGACAGTAGGGAAGCCCAGCAGACTCTACCTGTCAGTCTATCAGGGTCACTGAGCACTCATGGCAGGGCAGGGAGGCACGGGAACCACAGTCCAGGATGGCAGGCCAAGCCCCAGTGTTCTCCCAGTGTGGCTGACAAGAGTCCAGGGCCAAACCCAGGCCTGGATCCCTCAAAGTGTTGGGAGAGGCCTCCCACAGGGCCTGCACGTCCCAGATAAGATACCTAGTACACCGGGCGCCCAGCCAGCCTCCTGCAGACTGTAGGGAGCCCTTGAGCAAGGAGGCCTGGCTCAGAGTGTGCTGGGGACATTCTGGGCCAAACAGGGATCCCAGCAGCACCCACAAAGGGAATCCCCACCCACCCTTGGAAAGATGGGGATGGGGAGTTGGTGAAGGTCTCCTGACTCCCAAACAGGGTTCTGCCCCTCACAGGGGATGGCTCGGCTATTCAACAGAAAGGTATGGAACGAGGTACAGTGGTTCAGACGTGTAATCCCAGCACTTTGAGGGGCCGAGGCAGGAGGATCACTTGAGCTCAGGAGTTTGTGACAAGCCTGGGCAACATAGTGAGACCTTGTCACTATTAAAAATCCAAAAAATTAGGCCAGGCATAGTGGCTCACTCCCAGCACTTTGGGAGGCTGAGGCAGGTGGATCACCTGAGGTCAGCAGTTCCAGACCAGACTGGCAAACATGGCAAAGCCCTGTGTCTACTACAAGTACAAAAATCAGCTGCGTGTGGTGGTGAGTGCATATTAATCCCAGCTACTTGGGAGGCTGAGGCAGGAGAATCGCCTGAGCCCAGGAAGTGGAGATTGTGGTGAGCTGAGATCACCCCACTGCACTCCAATCTGGGTGACAGAGTAAGATTCTGTCTCAAAAAAAAAAAAAAAATCACCTGGAGATGTTGGTGCATCCTATAGTCCCAGCTACTCAGGAGGCTGAGGTAGAAGGATCACTTACTTGTACCCAAGATGTACGATAGAGCCAGTGCACTACAGTCTGGGTGAGAGATCCTGTCTCAAAAAGAAATGTATGGAGCAGCCAGGTGCTGAGCACACCATGGCCATAAATCCAAGCCCCAGCTGGGAGGTTAGGAGCACCACCAAAAACAGCAGGGAAGAGTGGGGTGGAGAGACACAGGACATTTCAAAAAAGGAGGCAGGTGCTTTCTGGGGAAAAATGGGCAGGGTGGTGCATGGAGGCTAGCATAGTGCCCACGGGTTCACCGGGGGCCTGAACATCCTCAAGTTCCGGGTTGGGCCACACTTTACTGAACAACCGCCAAAGCCAAGAGGCCTTTTGCCTGGCTCCCCAAGGAGGAGCCTCCAGCGCCTGAGGGAGGACCCAGGTGCCCTCCAAGTGGCAGATGCCAGGTATGGAGGTGGAATGCTGGGCTGATTCCTCCTGTGCCAGCCTCCCCATGCCCATCAGGTCACGGTTGACGGGGGAGCTGCCCTCTGCAGCTGCAGCCTCCATGTGACCACAGAAACACAAGCCTCCAGCCCCATAAGGGTCCACTTTTGAGAAACTGGAGAGAGGTGGCTTGACCCGGAGGGAAAGTTTCTCTAAGGCCAGCCCCGAAGTGACAGCACCAAAGTGGACTTTGAAACCCCACGGAGCTGGCTCCCTAGGGCGGCGGCACTTTCAGACAGTGGCCAAGCCTAACTTGCAAATCCCCATCTGGGAAATGGGGTGAACAGCGCTGACACCACAAAGTGTGAGGTCCCCAGCAAAACTTGCAGGGTGAGTGGGAGCCTGGCCTGCTGCACATTGGGAGGACGCCCCAGTGTCATAGGGTTTCTGCTCCTTGTTGCTAAAACGTGCAAAACCCTCTGACCCAGTCGCATTGCCCATTCACATACTCCCGTGCACACTTACATACCATCACAGGCTTCCACGCCCGCCCTTCACACCCACCGTCACACTCACACTTCTACCCTCACAGTCCTGTGGACTCACACTGAAGCCACAGTCACTCACACCCTCGCTCACACTCACAGCGGCGCACACACTCACACTACGGGTCCCTCCGGCAGCAAAGACTCCGCGGCGGCCAGGGCAGGGCCTGGCGCCCGCCCCCCCCCCCCCGCCCGGCCCCGGGCAGGACGACTGGGTTCCTGCCACCGACGGTCGGGGCGTGAGTCGCGGTCACCACTGCTCGCCCGGGCCGGGAGGGGTGGGCGGGGTGGGGTGAGGTAGGGCGCGGCGGGTCGGGCGGGCGGAGTGGGTGCGGCCCGGTGGGGTGGGGCTAGGTGCGGCCGGGGTCCCGCACCCCCTCCCGCAGGCCGGCCCGCCCCTCGCCGCCGGATCCCTGTCCCTCGCGACGCCCCGCGGCCCCGGCGCCCCCTCCCCACCTACCGTGCTCAGCTGGGCCCCCATGGTGGTCCCGCGCTGCGCTCGCTACGCTGCCGCCGCCGCCTTGATCGTGGCGCCCCGGCTAGCGTCACCCCGGAGCGGGGGCGGGGCCGAGGGCCCAGGCGCGCGCGGGGGGCGGGCGCGGGGGCGGGGACCGGGTCGCTCCGCCGGCTTCTGCCGAGGCCGCGGCCCTCGGCGCTCGGAGCTCTTCCGCCGGTGTGCGGCCCCACGCGGGACGCGGGTCTTTCTGGGCCTCGTTTGCAGCCGTAAAGGAAGCAAGATGGCGCCCCCCAGATGGGAGCGAGAGTAAGAGGCCTCGGAGCCCGCGGGGCCGTCCCGCCTGGCCTGGCCTGTGCCTGCGGCTGCTCAGTGCAGCCCTTCCCCTGGCCTTTGAACTTGCAGTTCCCTGGGTAGCCCTGTCGGGCTGGCCCGTGCTGATTGCTCACGTCCCAGGTCAAATGCTGCGGCCTCAGCACGGCCCGCGCGGAGCCTCCTCCCCACCCTATGGTCCCACTGTGGAGTGGTCTTTGTCCCACTTAGCTGAGTGCCTCCTGCGTGTTTCCCCCACTCCCACCCCATCCCAGTGGACTGTGGGCTCCCTGAGGGCAGGGCCCTGTCTGATTTGAAGTCCCTTACATGCCTGGAGCCTAGCCTATAGTAGGTGCTAAATAAATACTTTAAACAACAACAGGGTCTCAGTCTTGCCCTGGCTGGAATGCAGGAGCCTGATCACAGCTCACTTTAGCCTTAACCTCCCAGGCTTAAGTATTCCTCCTGCCTCAGCCTCCTGAGTACCAAGGGCTACAGGCACGTACCACCACGTCCAGCTAATTTTTTTGTTTTTTGAGACGGAGTTTCGCTGTTGTTACCCAGACTGGAGTGCAATGGCGCGATCTCAGCTCACCACGACCTCCGCCTCCTGGGTTCAAGAAATCCTCCTGCCTCAGCCTCCCGAGTAGCTGGGACTACAGGCACGCGCCACTATGCCCAGCTAATTTTTGTATTTTTAATAGAGACGGAGTTTCACCTTGTTGACCAGGATGGTCTCGATCTCTTGACCTCGTGATCCACCCACCTCGGCCTCCCAAAGTGCTGGGATTATAGGCGTGAGCCCGGCCCATCCTGTGATTATAATTCTCAAACTTTAGCTAACATACTTCAGCTAACAACTATCTTGCAGCAAGATCAGTGAGAGCTGGTTATCTTTTTCTAGGCTTCTCTGCTCTTCTCTGAGACATACACATTCCCCTATTAGGGTTTCACTTCTCTGGAGTTCAAAGTTCACAGCAGCCTTGCTGCTGATTCCCCCAGAGGGGGTGAGCTACTCTGGCGCTCTACACTGTCACCCAGGCTGGAGTAAAATGGTGCGATCTTCGCTCTCTACAACCTCTGCCTCCCAGGTTCAAGCGATTCTCCTGCCTCAGTCTCCCAAGTAGCTGGGATTACAGACATGCACTACCACGCCTGGCTAATTTTTTGTATTTTTAGTAGAGATGGGGTTTCACCATGTTGGCCAGGCTGGTCTTGAGCTCCTGCCCTTGTGATCCACTCACCTTGGCCTCCCAAAGTGCTGGGGTAACTGGCCTGAGCCACTGTACTCGGCTATTTTTTTATTTTTGAGACAGAATCTCGCTCTGTCACCCAGGCTGGAGTGCAGCGGTGCAATCTCAGCTCACTGCAACTTCCCGGGTTCAAGGGATCCTCCTGCCTCAGCCTCCAAGTAGCTGGGATGCATGCCTGTCCAGCTAATTTTTTGTATTTTTAGTAGAGATGGGGTATCATCATGTCAGCCAGGCTGATCTCCAACTCCTGACCTCAAGTGATCTGCCCGCCTCTGCCTCCCGAAGTGCTGGGATTACAGGCATGAACCATGGGGCCCAGCCTTAGGGAATCTTTTAAAGACAAAGGGAACTCCTGACCTCGTGATCTGCCCGCCTCGGCTTTTCAAAGTGCTGGGATTACAGGCATGAAACACCACACCCAGCCCATCATTTAAATTATTATATATATTTGTTGGCTCAGTGTGGTAGCCAAGGCAGGTGGACCACTTGAGGCCAGGAGTTTGATACCAGCCTGGCCAACATGGTGAAACGCTGTCTCTACTAAAAAATATAAAAATTAGCCAGGCATGGTGGCTCATGCCTGTAATACCAGCCCTTTGGGAGGCCGAGGTGGGCAGATCACCAGGTCAGGAGTTCTCTTTGTCTTTAAAAGATTCCCTAAGGCCAGGTGCCATGGCTCACGCCAGTAATCCCAGCACTTTGGGAGGCCGAGGTAGGCAGATCACTTGAGATTGGGGGGGGGGGGGTGGGCGGGTTCGAAACCAGCCTGGCCAACATAGAGCAACCCTGTCTCTCCTAAAAATACAAAGTTAGAGGCCAGTTGCGGTGGCTCAAATTTGTAATCCCAGCACTTTGGGAGGCCGAGGCGGGTGGATCACGAGGTCAACAGATCAAGACCATCCTGGTCAACATGGTGAAACCCCGTCTCTATATAAACAAAAAAAAATACAAAGTTAGCTGGGCATGGTGGCACATGCCTGTAATCCCAGCTATTCAGGAGGCTGAGGCAGGAGAATCACTTGAACCTGGGAGGCAGAGGTTGCAATGAGCCGAGATCATACCATTGCACTCCAGCCTGGGCAACAAGAGCAAAACTCCTGTCTCAAAAAAAAAGAAAATGTCCTTTTTACTCTGAACCCTCCTTTTTACCCTGAGGTCTGATCCTGCCTGCACCCAGGGAGGTGGGGTTGTCTCCCCAGTGTAGTCAGCAGAGCATGCTGAGGGAAGCTAGGGGTTCAGTTTCGTTGGAAAGGGAGGGGTAGGTTTCTCCCCTGAACCCCATGGGAGCTGCTCACCTCTTGCAAGGTGCTAACTGTGGGGCAGCCTGGGGGAGCAGGGAGAGGAAACAGGAATGACATTGAATGATGCCACCCTGCTGTTCTTGGGGGTCCTCAGACCCAGGGCTGGGGCCTTGTGTTTGCAGTCAGGAAGCTTGGGTCTGGCCAGCCCTACTGTGGCTCACGGAGTGACCATGGGCCAAGACCTTTCCTTCCCAGGGTGCTGTCTGAGAGAGGGTGGGCTGACTGTGAGGTCTTTAAAGCCCTTTCTGCTTCTGATATTTTATATTTATTCTCCCACAGACTTCTGTTTTGAAAAAATAGTTAATGTACAGAGTAGTTGCAAGAACAGTATAAATACAACAATCAGATTCCCCAGTGTTTATCATTTCAGCTCTTTCTCTCTCTCTGCTTTTCTGTCTCCCTATCTCTCCATTTGGTTTTGTGAACCACGTGACAATTAGTTGCAGATACTTGACCCTTTACCCCTAAACACTTTCCCACACTTCTCCCAAGAACAGGGTCGCTCTCCTACGTTGTCTCATTGTGTGATCATTGAATTCAAGAAACGTGACATGGACACGATGCTGAAATCTGTCCGTCTTCCCGTTTACCCCATTACAACCTTTCTAGCTATTCTTTTTTTTCTGATACAGGTTCTACTCCCAGGTCAAGCATTGCACTTACTTGGAAAGTCTCTTTAGCCTCCTTTACTCTGGAGACAGATGGAATCAGGAGGTACAGGTATCTGATGTCAGCTTGCCCCATTGTTGGTGGCGCCTGCCAGGCCTTCCCATTGTAAGATAACCTTTTACTCTGCTAACCTGTGAATGCCCTGATCCCCAGTAGACTTCCTGTAATAGTTTCTGCATCTATCCAGGATCCTGGCCTGCATCAATTATCATTGAAGTGGTTTAACCGGTTTACAAACTGCTTTGGGGGAGGAAAAAAAAAAAAAGACCCCTGCTGGCCGGTCGAAGTGGCTCACGCCTGTAATCCCAGCACTTTGGGAGGCCGAGGCGGGTGGATCACAAGGTCAAGAGATCGAGACCATCCTGGTCAACATGGTGAAACCCTGTCTCTACTAAAAATACAAAAAAAAAAAATTAGCTGGGCATGGTGGCGCGTGCCTGTAATCCCAGCTACTCTGGAGGCTGAGGCAGGAGAATTGCCTGAACCCAGGAAGCGGAGGTCGCGGTGAGCCGAGATCGCACCATTGCACTCCAGCCTGGGTAACAAGAGCAAAACTCCGTCTCAAAAAAAAAAAAAACCCTGCAAACCCCTTTTCCTTCCAGCATGCTGGCTGAGGATCCCTGACCCACCCCACTCAGGAGTTTAATCCTTGGGAAAGGCTGGCAGGTAGACAAGACATAGAAACTGTCATTTTCTTTTTTTCTTTTTAGACGGAGTTTCGCTGTTGTTACCCAGACTGGGGTGCAATGGCACGATCTCGGCTCACCGCAACCTCCACCTTCTGGGTTCAAACAATTCTCCTGCCTCAGCCTCCCGAGTACCTGGGACTACAGGCGCGCACCACCATGCCCAGCTAATTTTTTGTATTTTTAGTAGAGACTGGGTTTCACCTTGTTGACCAGGATGGTTTCAATCTCTTGACCTCGTGATCCACCTGCCTTGGCCTCCCAAAGTGCTGGGATTATAGGTGTGAGCCACCGCGCCCGGCCTGAAACAGTCATTTTCTAGAGGAGGAAAATGAGGCTCAACAGAGAGCAGAATGTCTGCTGGGTGCAGCATCTCAGGCCTGTAATCCCAGCACTTTGGCAGGCCAAGGCAGGTATGTTGTCTGAGGTCAGGAGTTTGAGACCAGCCTGGCTAACATGGTGAAAACATATCTCTACTAAAAATACAAAAAATTAGGCTGTGGTGGCTCACGCCTGTAAGCCAAGCACTTTGGAGGCCAAGGTGGGTGGATCACCTGAGGTTGGGAGTTCAAGACCGTCCTGACCAACATGGTGAAACCCCGTCTTTATTAAAAAAAAAAAAAAAATTAGCTGGGTGTGGTGGTGCTTGCCTATAGTCTACCTGGGAGGCTGAGGCAGGAGAACCACTTCAACCCTCGAGGTGAAGAATGCAGTGAACTGAGATCGCACCACTGCACTCCAGCCTGGGAGACAGAGGGAGACTCCATCTCTAAATAAATAGAGAGCAGAGAGTCAGGAAGGTAGTGGAGGAACTCCCCAGGAGTCTCTGAGCTCCAGCCCTTCCATGCCCAAGATGGGGAGTTTGGGAAGGAGGCTCCCAGGCAGATTCAAGGGCGGAGTTTTGGGCCGGGGTTGGAGTTGTCCCACCCAGGCAGTTTCCTAAGTCCCTGGCAGGAGTACAGGAACTAGGTCGCCAGATGGAGTGCATAAAAATACAGGGCACATAGTTCAATCTGAATTTCAGATAAACAAAGAATCATGTTTTGG